TCTCCCAACTGTAGGTGGACAGGGTCTAGTCTGGAAAATCCTCGGCACCCTCCCCAAAGCCCTCTGCAGTTGGTGTTTCTTGCCCATTGGGGCTTTCCTAGATCCCTGGAGGCCTCCTGGCTCAGCCTGAGCCACGAGCCAGGGTCAGCAGGGGGTGCCAGGCATTGGATGCTCTCTCACCACACCAGCAGGGAAGCAGAGAGGAAAAGGGGTTGAGGGTGGGGGTTACGAAGTAGGGGACAGGAGCTGGGCCAGCATATCAGGAAGCAGCAGCCCAAGCGGAGTTCAGGATGCACAAAAGGTGAAAAACAGCTCCATTGGGCAACCATGGAGATTCTGAGCTTGGTTCTTCTATGGAGGGCCTCATTCTGCTGGCCACTCCCATGGTAGCTGGGGATTCTTCTCCAGATGCTTCAGAACACAGGTTTCTTCCAACTTGCTGTGTGGCCACCAGTCTCCACCCATCAGGGCTTCCCATCCAACAGGGAGGTGTGCTTTCCAGACAAAGTCACGGTCAAGGGCAGCCCTTTGGAGGGGTCCCACCAGGACAGAAATATCTTCAGGCTCACAAAGAACCCAGATTCAGTGAGGCACTCCACCAACTACCCCCAGAGCTAGGGGCAGCAGGAGATTGAAAACTAAATTTCTCAATTCACAGCGGGAATCAGACAGAGCCCTAGCACCCTTCCCCACCACCTTCATTCCATACTCACAGCTTCATACACATGCAGGCTCACTCAGGGACAAATGCACCCCTCACTCATGCACACGCGTACGCATGCTGACACAGGCATACACTGTCCAGACAGACAGACACAGACGCATGCTAGAATATGCACGCAAGGACACACACATGCTTTCCTTTGATACTAACTTGGCTGGAGAGTTGGCTACCACCTGGGGAGGAGAGAAAGAGCAAAGAAGACAGGGATATCAGAGTGAGGCTCCTACCAGGGTGTTTGAGCTCTGGGACCATACTCAGAACGGCCATTGTGGAGGCAAAGCCAGCCCAGACTGGCTCTGGGTGAGGAGAGTGCAGAGTAAGGAGGGGAAAAGCTCAGAGTTAGGTCATGGCCTCTTGATTTGGGTAAGAGATACCTACAGCAGTGTTTTTCCCTAGGTAGGTCCCTAGTACCCAAAGCTTTGCCAGGTTTTCTTGTCCATCTTTAAGGGCACTCACATACACGGATTCCCCCCATACAACCTGGTTGCAGACTCTGGGAGAAAAGCAAGCCAGCTGTGGCTGCCAAGGGCCTAGGTACCTCTGTCTTGACAGCAGCTCTGAACTTCCCTTTGTTTAATGGAGGCAGCTCTGGGAGTTCTGCTCCCTGAGGAGGAGTTGCAGTGGTGCTGGGGTATATGTGTGGTGGGGTTACCCACAGCCCCAGGACCTGCTCTCCCTCTCAGAGTTAGGGACAGGCCATGTGGACAGGAAACAAGGCAAGAGGAGGAGCAAGGAGGAGCAAGGAGGCTCAGGATTGGGGGTCCATAACTTATTGCAGCAAAGCCCCCAGACAAGCCAGCCCATCTGCAATACTACAAGGGGGACACCACCATCACTCTTCTCTGAGTGAGCCTTCTGAAGCATCATCTCCTTGGGGGAGATATTGCCTGCATCACATCTCTAAATGCAATGCCTTGGCCCAGCAGATCCTGGCAGTATCTATGGCCCTGTTGGAAACTGAGTGGGAAGGGGGAGAGATGAGGGGAGTTGTAGAAGAGTGCAGGCAGTGTCCTTGCCTCAAACTCTGCTACTCTCCCAAATATGACCACTATAGACTCTGATGGGGAAGTCTGGAACCCAGCTAGCCAGGCCGTTGTCATTCTTTGGCCAAGAACCTGAGAAATCAGGCCAAGGCCAGGGGTATCTGAACCCCAGGCAGCCTCACTGTGGCCCTGCTCAGCCCTAGGCCCCTGTCTTAGAGCTAATAAATTTTCCTCTGTCCTCCAAGTCTCAAAATAGCTGCAAGTGGAGTTATATTAGTAAAAGGCTAGCACAGATCTTCCATTCCTTCTCCATTTTTGGCCAGTGCTGACAGCTGCAGGGTCAGCTCTTGCCCTGACCAGTCATGCCCCCTGCAGCTAGCTCCTTCTTTGGCATTGATTCCTGCCCTTCCCCCACACCTCACTTAGCTTCCACCTGCAGACCTGGAGGCTGCAATGCCTGTCAGACATAGTTCAGAAAGGAGGCAACAATCAGGTCTTGGGAAAGATGACCCAAAGCTGTAAGGTCTGTCCAGGGGCTCTTGTACCTAGTGGCCTTGTGGACTCTGCTCTTCAGTCCCAGCCCCAGAGAGGATAAGGAGAAGGGGACTACAAGGATGCTCAGGCCCATTGTCCCTGCACCCCATTTGTTCTCCTCCATGCCTCCCAGGATAGAAACTGACAAGGAAATACTGCAAACTGCTCAGAGAAAGTAGGGGAAGGAACTTCCTTTTAAAGCTGGACAGGACAGAGTTAAAATCCTGACCCTGCCTCTCCCTAGTGCTGTGACTCTGGGCAATTACCCACCAGTCACAACCTCCATCTCCTCATTCATAAAATCAAGATGGCAGTGCCTACTGCACAGATGGGTTGTGCAGACTAAACAGAATCCAGAGAGCAAAGCCCTCAGTAGGTTAAGTGTCCAGTGGATGGATTTCAAGCAGTTAGGTACTTAGTGAAGGCGGTGCCTCAGCCCAGCAGGGGCTGCCCAGGCTGGCCCAGATCAGAGGCTCCACCCTTCCTGTGGCATTGTTTGGGGACAGCAGCACCAGTCTTCATTTGGATGAAGCACTCCTCTCCTAGCCCATCTTTGCTTGGAAGAACCTGTTGGACTCTGATGCTCTGAGCATCAAATAATACCATAACATTTGCCAGGTTACTGAGAAGTGCCTGTGCCAATGGGAAGGCACCTTGGGAGTCATGGGAAGCAGGGATGTGGTAAGCCGTTCACTTCCTGGGGCAGGTAGGTGGGTCCCTGTCTCCATACAGAGAGGAGTCAGGTCGACCTGGGGTCAGTCCTATCTGCTACTCATTAGCTGTGTGACCTTGGGCAAATTACTCATTCTCTCTGGGCTTCTATTTCCCAGATTTAAAATGGGGGGAAATGATGCCAATCTTTGAAGTTGCTGAGAGAGATGTGTTAGTTAAAGCACATGGACTTTTAAAAAGTGCCCAGACCAGACTGGGCTCAGTAAGGAGGAGACAATACCTTCACACCAGGAGAACCTCATTGGGGGTCCAGGGGCTAGTCCCAGGGTAGCCAGGAAGAGCTACCTGCCCATCCAAGGCAGAGAGGGAGGCCATTTCTACTCTGCTATTCCTTGACTTTTCTGGCAGAAGCTCCTTGCTGAAAAAAGCTGGTGGTATATAGCACCTCTGCCGCCTTGGTCCAGGGAAGCCAGGTGCTTAGATCATGGAGTACCTGAGGCCAGTTTTACTCAGGATCTGAGAAAGAGCTGGGGATCTAGAGGAGGTGGGGAGCAGTGAACTGGTGGGGGCAGAGGCACCTTCTGTGGCACAAGCAAAGGAAGAGCATGGGGCTTGGGGCTTGGGTCACACTGACCCAGGGTGAGATTCTGGCTCATTAGTGTACCAGCTGTGTGACTCCAGGCAATGATGACAGATAGCACATACTGAGTGTGCCAAAACAGAGCTCAGTGCTGTGCACGTATTGTCTCCTTCAGTTCTCCCAGTAATGGACAGTTTCATGTCCGTGTACCCCTTACTACTGGACCATAGTGCCTTGACTCAGCCTGTTCTGCTTCTAACACATAATTATTAGAGATAATTATACCAATTTCAGGGGGCCATGGGAGACATTAAAATGAGATAACAAGCTTAAAGGACTTAGAAACTAATATACACTCTGCTTGGGGTCTTCTTCCCCTCAGCCCCTCCACAATGCCGACAAGCTCTAGATTTTTTTAAACTCCTGTGTTCACAGAGTCCTACCAGCTAGACTTCACGGGGCAGGGTCTGGGCTGCTGTTCTGCACATCCCCTTTCTCCCTGGGGTCCTGCTTCTTTGCTGCCCCACCTCAGCCAGGCTCAGTCCTGCCTTCACTCCTTTCACACTGTTGTAAAGTCTCCCTGAACCCAGCTTAAATGCTTCCTCCTCCAGACAGCCTTAGAGAACGTGCCTTCACACCTTTTTGACTCTTCCTTTCTCCTGTCTTAAGGCTCCCAGAGGGGTGTGGACCAGACTGTCCCCTTGTCTCAGAGCTCCTGGAGGCAGCAGGCTTTGTTGCGCGCGCGCGCGCGCGTGCGCGCGTGTGTGTGTGTGTGTGTGTGTGTGTAGTGGGGGAATGCTGGTATAACAGTTTTAGGTATCAGAGTCTTCTGCATTCGCCCATTTCAGCCACTTAGTGTGTGTGTGTGTGTGTGTGTGGTGGGGGAATGCTGGTATAACAGTTTTAGGTATCAGAGTCTTCTGCATTCGCCCATTTCAGCCACTTAGTGTGTGTGTGTGTGTGTGTGGTGGGGGAATGCTGGTATAACAGTTTTAGGTATCAGAGTCTTCTGCATTCGCCCATTTCAGCCACTTAGTGTGTGTGTGTGTGTGTGTGTGGTGGGGGAATGCTGGTATAACAGTTTTAGGTATCAGAGTCTTCTGCATTCGCCCATTTCAGCCACTTAGTGTGTGTGTGTGTGTGTGTGTGGTGGGGGAATGCTGGTATAACAGTTTTAGGTATCAGAGTCTTCTGCATTCGCCCATTTCAGCCACTTAGTGGCCTGACAGCTGAACCTTGACTTAACTTTCTCCAAGCCTCAGTTTCCCCTGTGCTAAATCTGACACATCACCCCAATGTAGTTGTGTAAAGCAATGATGTGCCAGAGTGTGACAAATGTCTGTAGGATCATTGCTTTCATGGCTCTCAGCCTGTGTTATCTCATGGGCCTGGGGCTGGCAGCTTGAGGCCAGCCTCTCACTCTGACCACCTGACTAGGCCTCTACTGAGCACCAAGGACCCAGGTGGCCCCAGACCACCAGCAGAGATCCATGCGCCCATTACCTACCCTCCTGGGAGTCCAGCACCTGAGGCCTTCCCTCGGAGGCTCATCTGGTACATCTGAGCCATCTCTCTCAGGGTCTCTGCTGAGTACAGGCCAATGGGGTTGTTATACTGCCTTGGCTGGCTGGAGCCCAGTGGCACTTTTGAGCTGAGTGAGTCCGGGACCCGCTTCAGGCTGGTCTTGGCCCTGGGGTTGCCCTGTGGAGGGCCAGGGTCAGAGGCCTCCATGTGTGAGGAGAAGATGGAGGTCTGGGAGAAGGAGGAACTAAAGGTCTGCCTGACCTCCGGGGTGCCCGGGCTGGCCCTCGCCTCGGGGTTGGGGCTGGGTGCCACCAGGCTGCCGTTTGTGTCCAGAGCAGGGTCCTGGCACAGGGTAGCCGCCATGCAGGGGAGAGAGAAGAGAGCAGTTAGATTCCACATGCATCCCAGTGCTTCTGTGTAGACCTGAAACAGAGGTGTTAGTGCAAGAGCCCCGCAGCCTGCAGCCTGCACTCTGAGCTCAAGAGGGGCCTGACAGGCACCTGAAAGAGAAGGGTTTTGTCAGGAAAGCAGAAGAGGCACACAGCTCCTGGCCCCAATGTTGGCATCCACCTGGACAAAATGCAAAGCCCCCCTCAGAAAGCTAAGCCAAGCCAGCCTGCTCACAGGGTTAGAGAAAAGGACTGGGACAAGGGAGCTGTAGGTGTCAGGGAGTGAGGAGACCCAACTCCACTCCGTGTCTGTTCCTCTTCCCCTGAGTGGGGGTCCCTGGTGGTTCAACCAGCCTCCTGTTCGACTGACCCCACACTGAGATACCCCCATGTGGCCAGTTAGAGGGGGCCCCCCCAGTTGGTAGTGGACAGGCAGAGTGGAGGGGAAACTGAGGAACCAGGGGACCGACATTTTATTCCTTTGGTTCACCTCTGCAACTTCTCCCAAGTAGCCTTCTGCCTAATTCCCCAATTTGTCAACCACTCCAGCCCCATGTCAGCCTCTTTCTCTCCCCTCTTCCTGTCCTTTGTGCACTCTGCCTCACTGAAGAGACAGGCTTAGTATAAGATCATGCAGGGAGGGGTGGGGAATGGGCCCTTTTTGGAGTGGTGGAGTGGGCCTCCCATGCATTGGACCCACAGGGTTGAATTGCTTAGAGGAAGCTAGAAAGGGGCCTGGCACGCAGGGGTGAGGTCTGTGGCCAGGACTCCACCTTCTCTCCTGTGCCTGCCTCTTGGCCATCACGAGCATTTCTGATTGGGCTATAATGGTGTGCAACTGGGAGGAAGAATGGAAATCAGAGGGAAGAAAGCCTAGGTCAGGGGAAAAACCCTAAGGGACAGCAGGCTACTCCACTTCTGGGAGCTCCTGCTGGGGTGACCAGGTCAAGCTGGGGCTTCCACTTTCATGCCACAGTGCCCTCCACCCTGGTGCCTCAGGAAGATGAGGGCCAGAGTCTTCTGGACCCTTGTCTCACCTGGCTGAGAGGATGCTCCCTCTTCTGAGAACACTGCTGCCTAAGCTGGTATTATATAAGGTTCTGGCAGGTGGCACCCAGGCAGGCACTTCACACTCAGTATTTCACGGGGGCTTGAACACTTCTCCCCAAGGTCTGCCCCACTCCCCAGGATCAGCTACAGCAGGGCAGTGCTAGGACAGGGCTGATTCCTTGCCTTGCCCCAGGTGGGCCAGCCAAGGGTCAGGCAGGCAGACCCGGAGCTGCATCCCAAGAACAGTGCCTGAGAGTGGAATCTGCCATCAACAATCAGTACTTACCTTCTGGTGGGGGATCACTGGCAGAGGGGACTGGATTAGGGGTGTCGCCATAGAGATGGGTGCGGGTCGCTTTGACCTGGAAGAACCGGAAATGAGACTAAGTGAAGACAGTCATGCTTGGGGCCAGGAGATTAGCCTGGGCAGGGCTGGACAGGCAGGAAGAACAATGGAGTACTAGGGAGCCAGGTCAGAGGGCCTAGGGCCCACTGTCCACACCGTAGCCTGGGAGTCTCCAGGAAACCACTGGGTCTAACCAGGAGGGAGAAGTCATGGCCCTCAGGCACTTTGCAGCCAGGGGCCTCTGCAAAGTCCTTGGGAGACTGCCTGGGCAAAGATAAACCAGGGAAGACCCTGGCTTTCAGGCCTGACAGACACACACTGGCAGCCCCAGACCCATCCTCTCAGCCTTGTCTGTAAAGTGAAGCACAGACATGGCAGGTGCTTAACAATGACTTGGGCCTGGTCCTTCCTCTGGTCCAGGGGCTGTTCTTACTGCCCTGCAACGCCTTGTAGCACAGGGCTGGACCCACACAACTGTTGCTGGACAGCCCATCTCTCAGGTGCCTAATGCCCACACCTCAGCCACCCCCCTGCTCTGGAGAGCTCCCACCTACTTCTGCAGTGTGAGACTCAGGTTGTAGCTGGCAGACTTGATCTTGTTCTGGGCCTCTAGGTGGGTCATGGTGTCCGTGTTGACGCCGTCAATGGCTACCACAAGATCACCCTGGCTGAGCTGGGACTGCGCCGCCTTGCTGCCCGGTGTGATCTGAGAGGATGGCAGATGGGGATATGAGCATAAGGAGGATGAGCCTGAAGATGGGCCAGTCCTCAGGGAAGAGTCACCCAGGATCATCCAGTAGAGGCCTGCCATTTTGTCTTCTTCACTGTGGCTAGCACCCGTTGCTCATCAAACATGATTCCTCTTGCTGGCACACAGCTAGCACATTTTCTAGTGCTTTGTATCCAAGTGTGGCTGTAAGACTACCTCTGGCTGGTGGGATGTGGATGGAGGCAGTGCATACCACTTCTAGGCCTATCCCAAGCAGCCATCCTTGCCATCCTGCACTCTCTCTTCTTGTCAGCTGACTGGATGCAGAGGACCCAAAGGAGAATCAAGCCACTAGCAGAAGGGACCTAGATCCTGGAGTTGCTACTTGGTGGAGAATGACTAAGGAGCATTGTATTGAATGTTGCATGAGTGAGAAATGAATTTTTGTCATACTAAGCCATTGAGATTTGGGGCTATTTGTTATACCAGTTTGCTCACTGTAATACCTGCACCCTGAAAATCCATGAAGCACTTCCCAGGCTCCAGGAGGAAGGGGATATGCAGGGGCTAAGCCTCAGTACCACCACAGAGATGCTACCAAATCAGCAGTTGGGACAAATGCCCCTTCACAATGCATTCTAGTGTTAGTGCCTGGTGCCACCATGGCAGGGTACAGCAGCAGGCTGGGGTGCTGCCAAGCCTGCCTGGGTGAGCAAGGCTGGGACCTGAGGAGCTGTAGATGTGGGGGCCAGTTCCCAAACCCTGCATCCTAATGCCATCACAGATTGTTAGAGTCTGGGGGTCCCACCCCCAGTGGGACTGATCACATAGAATGCCAGGTTTGCTCTACCCTGGGACACCCCTTGCAATGTCAGGAAGGCAACACACCCCCCGGAACATTACTTGGGATCCCACGATGGTTCAGATTCCACTTCCAATGACATCATGTACAATGCCAGATTCTGCAGACCTGGCTCCCAGTAATAGCACCCTGAATGCTGTGGAGATGCCTCCTGAAGTGATATCACAGGGAATGCAAAATTCTGGAAGGCCTCATTTAAAATAGCTTGATGGCCTGTTCCTAGTGACATTCCATGGAATGTGATGAAGCCCCACCTCCAAAGATGTCTCATGAAATGTCCCAGAGACTCTGCTCCACTCCTATGACACTATATGGAATACTACATGATGGTATTCCTGACCCACATAATATCATGTGGAAGGCCCCTTATGACACCACACTGAATGCCATGTAGGCCCTACCCCCAATGACACCTCAGAAAAGAGGAGCCTCTGGAGGAGTTCCTTGGCTTTCCTCCTCAGCTGCCCACCAGCTTGTCCTCCTGGCTTCTCTGGGCACATCCCAGTCACCTCCCTGGCTACACCCCAGGGACAAGGCAGATCCTAATGCTGGCAGAGTTATTTTCTGGCCAAGGCCTGGAGACCATCCTAGAAGGAGCCCAGAGAGGACCTGGGGACAGTCCCAGGTCTTTGGTGTCAAGCCTGAGAGGGACTCTGGCCAGGCCCTGGGCTCCCAGACCTGATGGAAGCCTCCTGCCAGGCCCCTCACAGGGAGCTTCTCAGCTGAACTAGGGCCCTTCCTGCCACCAATCTCCAGCCTTTTCTCAGATGTGCTCTACAGGGTGAATACTCTGGTTTCTCTTCAGATTGTATACATCTTTTGCCTTTTACAGGGTGGGCCCAGGAACCAAGTGTGATGACCCAGTGATAACAGCAGCACAGGGAGAGCCCTCTCCAATTGCCTTTGGCCTGCCTCAGCCCCAGCGGCTGTGCTACGTGCTTAAACACTGGCCACCTTCTCCCAGAGCAGCCTCCCCATCCCTGAATCTGCTGAGACAGACAAGGCCAGGAGAGAAACAAAACTCTAGGTTGCCAGGTAGCCACTGTTTATAGAATCCAGTATGCTGCCCCCACTCCCACAAGGGCATCTGAGAACTAACTATTCAGGCCTCCTCAAAATGTGCACCATTCTCCCCAAATCCAAGGCCACAGGGAGCCTCTATTAATAACAGGAATGTATTGTTCTCTTCAATTTAAGGCATTAAACAATGGGTAGAAAGCAACAACAAAGTGAAAAGAAACACTTTGTAGACTAAGATGGGACTCCCAAGGCAAGGGAACTGCTTGGGCTTCCCATGCTGGCCTGCACTCTCCCCAGCATTTTATTACAGACATCATCAAATGTATGAAAAGTGGAGAGAATTTTACAGTGAACACCCAAATACCCACCACTGAGGTTCTACAGTAACATTTCCCTCAACTTGCTGCATCACATGTCTGTCCCTCTCTCCATCCACCAATCCATCTTAGCTTGGAAGCACTTCAGAGAAAGTAGAGGACACCAGTATTCTTCCTTTCAGTCTGAAGCAAGCAATGCCACTGCCCTCCTAGTGGACTCCCCACCACCGACTCCCCCACACAAGGGCTTCTCAGGGGCTTCTAACCAACCCCAGAGAAGGGGCCATCACCCTGCAGCAGAGAGATCCCAGGTAGGAGAGTGGGGACTGGTAGCACAGACCCCAGAGAGAAGGGCAGGCCAGTTGCCTACAGACGTGATAGCTCCCAGACAGGAGCAGAGTCATGTCCAGAAGTTTATGAGTGACAGTGTAAGCAAGGACGTCAGAATGACATTCAAGAGAGGGTTGGGCCAGATCAGCTTGAGCAAAGGTAGGGGTCAAGAGGTGTCAAATCTGGAATGCTCTCCTGTTAGAGCTGCTGCACACCAAACTCTTACTGTGTCTCCCACCTTCCCCTGGCCAGGCCCTGCCTTGCTTTCCCCTCATCCTTAGGTACAGACTGGAGTGATCCCTATTCCCAGGGTAGAGCTCATCCTCCCTGGGGCCTGGTCAGCAGCCAGATGCCTCTGAGGGAAGCCACTGAGCTGGCTCCCGCCTGGCCCCCGAGCATTTCTCCCTGCACCTGTCTATGCCCATCAGGGTTCAGCTGGCCTGGCCTTTGGCTGCCCTGAGCAGAATCCAATGAACTTTGGGCTGTCATCTTCTTGTAGGGAGGTGCTCTTCTAGTTCTAACCAGCTTTTCTTAGAGATGGAGGCAGGGACCTCCAGCACGGCCCATGGGTCATCAGGTCCCTTCCCCCCACTGCAGGAGTGGTGTGCCACACAGATGGGTGAGGCCACCCTTGGACGCTTACCCAGAGCCCAGGGCAGAGACAGGTGCAGTCCAAGCATGATGTACCCATGGATCTGTCAGACTGTACCCCTCTCCACTTTCCTCATCCCAGGAAGGACCCAAAGCAGCTAAGTCCATGGGGATTTTCTTTTTCTTTAGTCTTTCCCTTTTAAGCATTTGAAGGACTCTTCATAATAGTTGTTTCATTCCCACTTCACTTTTCAGTCTTCTTGACTTACCAGCCACCTCTCAGCTGGGAAACCAGCCCTGGAAAGAGCTCCAGGCCTGAGTCTTGTCTCCAAGGCTCCCTAGGATGGGGTCAAAGTGTTTGGGGGCCAAAATTGCCACCTGGCCCACAGCAGTCCTTTCATCTGGCTGAGACATGGTCTTAAGGCACTCCAAAGAGGGCACAGGGATTACAGGTACCAAGGAGCCGCTGTGGCCCCGCTCACCTGCAGGTGCCTGCAGGGGAGGCAGCAAAGAAAAGAGTGTGGACTTTGGTCTGGGCCAGACCTGAAGTTGCAGTGCCAGCCTCCGTGTCCTCTGTGTCTGGAGAGAAATGCCACCTTTCTCCCAGGATTGCTGAGAGCATTACATTATTAAATAGGGTATTATGTAAGGGGGGTTAGAGCTGAAATAGTTTCAAGGAAGCTCCCCACTGAGGAGGCATAGGTGCTGCCCCCTCCCCATTCCTTCCCTCTGGAGGTACCAGAGGGGCTGAGGCTGGGAGGTTGCATCCCTGGCTCCAAGAGAAATAAGACCCAGAGCTGGCAGAGCTGGGGAGCAAGAGACTGCCCTGACTGACCAGTCCTGAGCCAGCATGCTGTCACTAAAGGGGCCTGAGCATTAGCTGGAGGGAAGAGAAGTTCTGTCCAGATTCCCAGGAAGCAAGATGCTGGCTGGGGCACAGGGGCATCCATGCCATCAGTTCCTATTTCCCCAGTTCCCAGGCAGCTGGCAGCCAGGAAGGCAGCTGGGCTCCCTGCAGAAGTTCCCATCCTCCCAGTGTTCAAAACCAGACAGGCCCCAGCCTTCCTTCTGCCTTATATTCTGCCGATGTAGATGTGATGGGGGATGGGGAGAAGGGCATCCAGTGGATGCTGTGGATGGTGTAGCTTCCAGCATCTCCTCCCACCCTTCCAGGCTGACCAACCCAGGGGATTTCCTGTGGAATCCTAAGTGCATTTAACATTGTGTGATTAAATTACTGTTGTGCTATGTTCTGCTAGAGTCCCACCTGGACTCCCCTGGGGCCTTACTCCATCCCTTACCCTCTCACTGGAAACTGCTGTCTCCCCATGGCCCTGCTTCCAACCCCACCCTGGCCAATAAACAAGCCAGAGTCTTATCTGTGCTCAAAAAGTCTCTCCTTGCACAGAGGATCTTCAGGGTAATGAAAATATTCTGGATATACTATAATGGTGAATATATGTCATTATACATTTGTCCAAACCCATAGAATGTATAAGAACACGAGCGAACCCTAATGTCAACTATGAACTCTGGATGATAACAATGTGTCAATGTAGGTTCACCGATTGTAAGAAATGCACCCCCCTGGCGGGGTGTTAACAATTCGGAAGGCTGTGCATACAGGGGCAGGAGGTATATGGAAAATCTCTGTACTCTTCTCTCAATTTTGCCGTGAACCTAAATCTGCTCTAAGAAAATACTTTTTAAAAATAATGACAATAAAGCCTCTCCCTCCCTTGTCTTACCTGCTCCAGTGGCTCCTGTCATGTTTTGCTCCCTTTCTTCACCTCCAGGCTTCTTCAAAAACTGACCAGCAGGTCCTGCCTCTACTGTCTCCCATCCCTCTCACACCCAGCCATCTGGCTCTGGCCCCCACCACTCCACACACTCCAGTGACCTCTCTGTGTCCAAAGCCAGGGCTCACTTCCTCTCTAGCTAACCATACTTGTACCTTATCCCTGGTCTGAGTCTCTCTCTTCTCTTCTGGTCCAAGCCCACAGTTTTATCTGTGTCCTGGATGTCACCTATAGAATGCTCCTGTGGACACATCACTCACAGTGGGCCCCAGAGAGTACTGGGACATGGAAAAGTCCCTTCATGCCTCTTAAGACGGTTCCTGGGTAGAGGTGGAATGTGGTTCCAAAAAAAGCCTTTGCAACAACCGTCCCCAGATGAGAGGGGACTGTGTAGAGAGAGACAGAGATTCAGGGAACTGAAGAGACATCTCCAAGTCTGGAGAGTTGCCCCAGCAGGGCCCAGTGGACCTTCCTCAGGAATCCTCCCCAAGATCGCCACTGCCCCACCCCTTAGTCTGAGGAGGCTGGGGGCAACCTATGAAGTTGCTGTTTCCTGTGTCCTGACCCAAGGCCTTGGAGGTTCTGTTCCCTAGGATGCAGCCAGCTTCATGCCTGCTTCCTTTAGAGCCCTCACAGGGTCAGAGACAACTCTGAACACCAGGGAAGAGGAGCATGCCAGGAGGTAGCCTGGCTGGCAGAATGCTAAGAAGGCACTCTCCAGCTGTGGGCCTCTGTCAGTTCTTTCCCATTTGTTCATATGCTGGGTGGGGCAGGGGGTGGGTGAGGCCCAGCAGCCCCACAGAAGCCCTCCAGAGGCTTGCCTGACCTTAGAGGCTATAAACAGCCTGAGCTGTCAGCACTTTGAGGCGCTGCCCAAGAAACAACACCAGCAACCTCAGAATTCCAGGAATTGCGGGCACAGTTGCCCCAGAATAGCCTTGGCCTTCCCCCTCCCCGGCGACCCTCTGTCCTTAGTGTCCCCATTGTACCTGGGATAGTCTGACAAATACTGGAAATGAAAACTGCAAAGTAACTGGTGGTCCTCAAGGCTGGTACCTAGGCATGCCTTCTAGGCTGGTGAGTGGAGCAGAGAAACTGACCCCACCCCAAGCTGAGCACCAGCTGCCCCCCACCCCATTCTCACAACCAGTACCTGAGGAAGAGCAGGTATGAAGTATCTTCATGAGTGCATGTTAGAAAGCCCTCTCACAAGGCACTATCCTCATTTCACAGAGGAAAACTGAAGCTGAGCTGGTGAACTGACTTCTAAGGTGATACACCTGTGAGTAGCAGAACAAAACAAAAGCACCCACCTCTTTCCTAAAGCTGAGGACCACAGCATGCACCAAGGGACAAGGCCCCAGCCTCTGGCCTAGTGGCTGGGATTGAGGTGGGGGATGGGTCTTTGTAGCTCCTCCCTCACCTCCCCCACTTCCTGGAGAACTGGCTAGGGTTGGGAGAGGGTGGGGTGAGAAGTCAGCTTGTGTTGCAAGAGCAGCCACACCTGTCTGGGATAAAGAAAGGCATTTCCCCTCCACCCTCTGAGTCTCCCTCCTGAACCCTCTTCTCTGTGGGTCCTCAGGCTGAGACTCACTGAAAGGAGGGTTTGAGAGGATGCTGCTGCCCCAAGGTTGCTACTGTGGGGCCTGTGGGCAGAATATGGTGGGGACAGATCTACTACCCAGCCTGCAGGTGGCTGGTAGCCACCTTCTTACAGGAGAAGCTGCAGCCTGCACCTGCAGCTGACAGGTGACAGGGCCTACTCTGTGCTTTTCTACTAGCCCCTAGCCAGAGGGTTGAAGGAACAGGCTTGGGAGCTAGGGATTTCCACAGGAGCTCCTGTGCAAATTTGAGACTCAGTTTGCCTGGCTCTGAAGCCCTGCCTGGCTGGCCACCCTCCCAGAACTACATTGCTGGAGGGGTGGGGATGGCCACTGCTGAGAATGAGCAGGCCCCTGCCTCTGTGAATGCCCCCTCTGCAATATGCCACTAGTCACCTGAGCACCCGCCAGCCCCTGTGGGAAGTGAATCACAGCTGGAGTAGGAGTAGGGTCTCTCCAGAAATCTCTGGCCCTGTCTCCCCTTGAGCAAGATGTTCCTGGTGCAAAAGGGGCTGGAGAGCCACAGCAGGAAAAACCACAGCCCAGGGAAGATGACAGGGCTCAGGGGCTCAGGGCCTGGCCTGTACCACTGAGCCTGGGACGCCCAGTCCAGAGTATCAGCAGCCCAGCAGAGCAGTTTATCAAGGTACTCCAAACCCTGGGGTGGTCCAGTGCCCAATCCAGCTTGCTGCACTGGCCTTGGTAATTTGGAGCTTGCCCCTGTAGGAAGCAGAGGCCATCGTGTCCATCCCTAGATGCCTTGTCAGAGCTGCAGGTTCTATTTTTAAAAGTTCCTCCTAGTCATTGGCTCCAGTACATCCCAATACACCCCCTCCCTACAGTGAAGACATTCTTCCTGCTGTCTAGTTTAAGGCCTCTGTGCTGCAATTAAGCCCCGGACTAGCCAGGCCAGGTGGCACATAGACCCTGGGTGAGGTAACTGGCTATCCTTGGTGCCACTGAACTGGGAGGCTAATTTCCACCTGTAGGGTTGGGGCAAGGAACACCAGGAGGAGGCCTTGAGGATGATGGAGCTGGAGCAGAGTTGGGCTGGTGTGTGTGGGTGGCCAGTGGACTTATGAGGGTGAGAGTGGGCAGCCCCACTCGTATAGGTATAGGGAGAAGACTTGCAACCATGGGGATGGGAAGTTGTGCAGGGTCCTGGGGATTGGGTTCCCACTTGGGTTCAAATGCCCATATGTCACCATGTCATCAGTGCATAATTCTCTTGTCCTTTTAGTATGGGACCCTGTGGACTCCAGGGCAGTGGGTCTGGAGGGGTTGCAAACTCAGGTTAGAATGAGCCAGCTCGCCAGGAGAAGGATGGAGGACTAAGGCCTTTTCCCTAGGCTGGAGCCAGCCCAGCATCTCACACCACAGGAAAGTGGCCTCTATGGCTATTAAGAGCTTCCTATAGCGCCCCTGAGTGAGATTCTCCTTGGGGTTCCTCCAAGTGCCCACATCAGGTTCCACAGCCAGGAGTGCTCCTCCAGCAGGGGTATTGGCTTCCTTCCCCTTCTGCCACGCAACTTTCAGACCTTTCCTGGCTACCCACTCAGTGCTTCCCTGCCCCACTATGCTCCCCAGGCCCAAGGAAAGTCTCTGCTGCCCTGGAGAAAAACCATCTTCCTGTCCCCTGGTGGGCAGCAACCCAAACACTCCTGTCCATTTATCACCCACTGTGACAGCCTGGGGCCTCAGCCTGCCCCCTGGTGCCCACACACGGCACTGCTGGGGACTGCCCCAGACTTAGCCCATCATGCAGGGCTTGTCTATGCCCTTGCACATCTCATAGTCCACCCTGAGCCACAGGACCTTCAGACTCAGCTCTGCTGGACTTGTTGAAGAGTCCCTTTACTTGACAAATGTTGCCTGAGCATATACTATGTTCTAGGCCCTGCTATAGATTTCAGGGACATAGCAGTGGTTTAAACAAAGCCTTTCAGATCTAATTTCTCTGCTTTCTGGGTTTTAGTGTCCCCAGCAGGTCAGTAGAGTTACTCAGACATTCTCCGATGTTTTGTAACACTCACAACAGGCAGTGATGTTCCCTGATCACAGACACTGCAGGACATGGGTTGTTTTCCCAGTCAAGCATGGGAAATAAGATGTGAGACAGGCAGATAAAGCAGCCCTGGTGAATAGGCAGTGGCTTAGGCAGCCTCATGAGGCCAGCCAGTGCCAGGTCCCTGGCAGGACCAGCAGGTGGGAGGAGGGGACTGTTATCTTGGGTCTGGGATGGATGGAGTGGGTGTTAGAGCCCAGTAACCAACCCAATCCAGTCCCGAGTACTGACAGCCAAGGTCAGCAGTCTGTCCATCCACCTATCTACCCTCCTGTTTCCTGCCCTTTCTGTGCTAGGAGTGTTCTCTCCCCAAAGCAGTTGCCCACTATCAGGGAAATGTTCCAGGCTTGCCAAGGAAGGGCTGAGAAAAGTGCTATACTCTGTTCACTTGCCGGCCTGCCCTGAAAATTTGACACTTCCTTCTCTGCTGCTTGCCCATGGCATTTCACTTTACAACAGGCTGACCAATTCAGGGGGACAAACAGCTGTGGCCAAGACCAGGACCCTATGGCCAGCAGCATCCAGTGGGGTCCAATGCCAGCCCCCAGACTGGGGATATGATGTGCTCTGGTTTTCAAGAGCATTGGAGAAGATGGGTGGACATACATACACTTCTCTGAACATACCAACCCCTATGGGCACCAGGCCATGAGCAGCACACACTCACCCGGGAGATAGTAAGCGGCATGTTGAAGTCCTTGCCCCCCTGTAGACGAAAGCCCCAGGGCCCAGGCCCGGTCAGGGTCACGCTGTAAGACATGCTGGTGCTGACAGTGGTGGCCTCTGTGGATAAGAAGAGGGAGTGAGACAGCCCGAATGCACTCTGCCTCTGCACCTGCCCCAGACCCCCAACCCCCAGCCTTGCCTGCTCTGTTCCTTGCTGTCTGGGCAGGCTGTATGGAGCTCCTGAGAAGCTCCTAAGAATAGCTGGGAACGAATGCCATCGACACTGATATCTGCCCTCTGCTACGCCCATAAATGGACTGTAACTTTACACTGTGCCCGCCTGCTGAGGCCTCCCAGGCAGTCCACCATGACTCAGAGAGCTAATATAGCCCCTGGGGAGGGGTGTCCTGCACCCAGGGGGCAGGATAAGGTACTGGCCATGTCAGTGATAATGTTCTTGCCTCCCTGCTCTCCTCTCCTTGCTCTCTCTGCCCTCTGGAGAGCCAGGACACACACTCTTTCCCCAGCTGTACCCACCTCCTTGTGACTTGGGGTATCGCTGTGCTCTCTGGTGAAAGGCTGTATGTACCTTACCCAGTGTGAAGTCATGATAGGCCTTAGGACCAAGCTGAGCTTCCAGTTGGTCTGGACAGAGCTTCAGCTCAGGAGATGAGTAATTGGCCCAAGATTTCCCAGCATACAAACGGTCATCATAATAGCAACAGCTCTGAGCACAGCTAAGCTTAGCTCCAGGCCCTTCACATCATTATTCCCTCAGATCTTGAGAGGCTGCTGCCTCAGCAGGAGCCAAGGCTCAGAGAGGTTAAGTGACTTTTCCAAGGCAACATAGCAAATGAACTCAGGCCACACTGGAGCCTGGGCTAATTCCCATGGGATTTGTGTCAGATAGTGGGTTCTCAGTGGTCACAGGTGCCTACCAATACTCAGACTCAGGTTGGGGTCCTGCCTGTGCCCTTCAGCACGGGGTCTGAAAGCAAGTCCAAGGCAGACCCACACTGTCCAGACCCTCTGGGGCCCAGCAGTTACTCCTGGCTCTTGTGTCTCATCTGTGTTCTGGAAAACTTGACAGCAGTAAGGAAAGCTCCAGCTGCCAGTGCGGCACGCCAGGCTCCTGTGCCCTTTGCGCTGGAATGGCAGGGGGCAGGGAGAAGGAGCGGGGATGCTATTTGCTCAGCTGCTGGGACATGGGGCCAGAAGGGAGGGGCTGTATGTTCAGTGTTTTTAGCCCATAGCCCTGAGACAGTGTGTTCTGAGAGGGGGTCTAGGCCCTTTGAGAGTGTGGCCTTGGGAGAGACTCCTGCTAGTGTGGTTTTGGGGCCAGGATTCCTTTAGAAGCCTTCCTTACCCCAGAAGACACCTTAGGCCCTGGGTTGTCTAGAAATAGATCAAAGCTCACTGTGGCTCCTGGCTGGGGAAACTGAGGCTTAGGGAAGGCAACTGGGTTAGCTGCTCTCTGGCCTTCCCAGAGGGCTCTGGCTTGGGCACAATCCCAAGGACTAAATATAGGCCTGGGCGTGAGTAATTTCCTAGCTGCCAGCATCCCATCTCATGCCTTGGGCCTGTCACACACAACATGCAGGGTAGGAGTCCCCACATTACAGGGGCATTTGATAACTTGACCAAGATCATAAAACTATCAAATGGAAGAAGCTAAGGAGAAACCTGTGTTCTTTCCTCCACTTTACCACCTCCTTGCCCTGTATCATGTAGCCCAGCCTATTCTCCCTGTTGGTGCCTAGCCCAGGAGACTTACTGCTTGCAGCACCCATCCCTCCCCTGTACCATTCCCTGCCCTTCACCCAGTCCCCATTCCGTCCATCCCTGACTCCAGCCTTATCCCCTTCCCTGCCGAGATTTATTCTTCCAAGGTGGAAAGGGCCCAGCAGCATGAACAGTGTGGGATAAGGAAGTTTAATGGGGTTCAGAGCTTGGGCTGCTGAAGCCTATGTAATTCTGAAACAGAAGAAAGGGGAGGAAGGAGAGCACCGGGCTAGACTGTACCTGAAGATGCAGGCTCTTTCTCTGGGCTTGGGTACCCGCTTGAAGCCTGATGCTGCCTCAGGGAAAGGGAGGGGTAGTAGAAAGGATGCTCTTAAAGAGGGGAGGCTAGCCACCACCCATCTGCTTCCCCTAGGGGCCCAAGACAGCCAGAGAGCAGCTGGTACCTAGAGGCTGGGTGGGCACTTCTGCTCAGTAACAGCAGCTCATTGGGCAGTGGGACTGGGGGCAAGCCTGTTCTTTGTCCCTCCTCCAGTCTGCACCCCACAGTTTGAGATGGTGACTTCAGGAAAGAGAGTCACAAGGTGGGGAAAAGAGAGAAGTGGAGGAAGAGAAACTGCTGTGGGCATTAGAGGGCAGGCCTAGGGTTTCTCTCTAATTGCAACATCAACAGAAAAGAGACCATGCTTCTCTGAGACCTCTGATTATTTATTTTCCTATACTCTGTCAGAACCACACAGCCCTGGGTTAAACTTAGACCACTGATTTGAAAGAAATCACAAGTGCAAAGTGTGCACACATATGCTGAGTATGCATGCAAATATGTACATGCAGAGAGTGTGCTTGCAAATGTATGTGTGCACAAGAGTGTGGAGCACAGTGGAAACAGTACACTGTGGGGAAAAGCTACTGATAAATAAGAGTTTCCAGTACATGAAGGTCTGTGTTCAGCTTTAACTGCTGACTGAGGGAGATACAGTGCTGGCTTTCCCATGCCAACAAAGTGCCCAGCCTGGGTGCGGAGGCAACTCATAAATAGCTGGTGTGCCCCATGGAGCCATCGCCATTGTCATCACTCAATCATGGCACACAGCACTTGAAGAGGGGCAGGTGGCTCCAGGAGCAGGAGGGCTGGGCTCCACTCTTCAGGATGAGCCTGGGGTGCAGGCTGCCAAGATGAGAAGTGCGTGCAGAACACTTTGCATGGCAGGAGCTTTGTGTTTTGGGATATGAATCTAGCACACCACAAGTGACAGGGCTACTTCCAAAGCCCACAGACTCAGGAGGTAATCCTGGGTCTGTGTTGGGCAGGGCACTGGGCATATCCAGAAGAAAAGGAGATCCAGTGATGCCCTATATCCTGGAGTCCAGACTGGGGAGCAGCACCTTGGTCCAGAAAACAAACAACACACATCTGTTTAGCCTAAGAAATGTCCCAGCAGTAACAGTCTCCCAGTGATTCTCTAGTGAAGGGAGGCTTAATGGAGGGCCAGGTTGTGTCCTAGGTTGAGGATGGGCCTTCTCTGAGACTCTAGGCAATGTGGCCTGAAAGATGGAGCCAGACATGTCTAAGGATGCCAGTAGGACATCCCCCTAGGACATCCCCTAGGCTCTTGGGCTCCTGAGGTCCAGACTGAGGTCTCTTCACCTCACCATCCCTTTCTACACTTCCCTTTTTTCCTCTTCCACATGCCAGTGTCTGCTCTCCCCCTGCTGCCTTCAACACCTCATTTCTGGTGTGTCCTATAGCACCTGCTTCCTCTGGTTTTCTCCCTGAAGCTCATACCATTCAACCTGTCCTTCCCCAGCCACTGCAGAGGGGTCCAGCTACCCTGCAAAGCTAACCCAGCCCTAATCAGAACCCTGCTAAGTCCTCCAAGTGCTCCTTACACCCAGCGTCACACCTGGAGACCCCTCTAGCCAGCAGTTGAGTGGGTCTTCTCAAGGCTCCTACTACCACCTCCTGCCTGTGTTCTTTCTCTCACATGTCCCGCCAGCTCACAGGGTCCCTTTGGCTGCTTCTGAGGTCACAGAGCAACATTCTGTTCCAGGACACTGAGCTCTCCCTGGGCTCTACTGCGTTTGCACAGGCTGTTTCCTCAGTCTGGACTTCTCATCACCTACCCCCCCTCAGCCTGGCAATCTCCACTTTACCTCCACCTTCCCTGGGGAGCCCTTGGGGACTTGCCTCTGCTTTCAGTAGTCTGTATACTGATACCTTATTGGCAGTCTTTATCACCTGTTAGGTGACTGCTGATGTGCTATACCTCTCTTCCCAGCAGCCTACCCCATCCTTGTATTCCCCCCAGGATAGGCATTGTGCCTTTTGTCATTGCCCCACCAGTCTGGGGGTGGGGCACAGCCATGCCTCTGTCCTGGTCTCTGTGGCTGTGCACAGTGCCAGGGCTCAGGGCTGGGGTTTGAGTCCTCCTGGGGCTGGAGCATCAGGAGAGTGGTGCTCCCTTGAACACTGATGCTGGGGGAGGCAGAGGCTCCAACTGTAGGGAACAACCCAGGGCTCCCCCTCTCTGGGACATGCAGGGGAGCAGCCTTGAAGAAGAAAAGCAGAGAAGTGCTCTGGCCTTGGGCTTGCTAGGGAAGCTCAAGAAAGCCCAGGAGCTGAAACTTTTGTGTAGGTAGGAGTGAAGGGCAGGGGTGGAGGGAGCTGTCAGCTGAGAGGGAGGGGAAGCCTCAGCCTTGGGGCCTGAGCATGGCATTTCCAGTGTTCCAGAATATGGCCTTCTCTAATCGCCATCGACATTCCGTTCCATAGGCAGTTGGGCTGACAGCTGGCTTTCTTTTAATAGCCACAAGTATTCTGGGTAACATCCTAATCTCAGGGCATTCTCACTGAGCACATACACAGCTTGCAGCACCCCCACACAGGTATGTCCAGCCTCCAATCACACACAAAGGTACATACCATACACCCTTGGTCACATACAGCTTAGAGCAAACATGTTAGGGACACTCAATTCTACTCCCTGTAATGTCACAGTGACAGAGAGTAAGTGCCAGGCACATGGTCACACACACTAGCACACATGTATACTTTTATCATAGTACAGCATAGCCACCACCACCTGCTACCTACAATCACACACAGACCCTCTTAAGTGGAGTCTCAGACCACAGTGTGGCCTGCTCAAAGCATCTGGGAGTCATAGAACTCCAGACTCTCTATATGTGCAAGGGAATGCTGGGGAGGTACAGAGAAGATGTAATTCTCAGAGAGCATTTGGGCCTACCCATGAGAACTAGTCCCCTTTTCCTGGTCACTCCCTGGGCTACTTGCCCCCTGTCTTCAATTACCTTCCTGGGATCCTGTGCTTCATGTCCCTGGGGCTGAGGAAGGGCCTTGGCTTCTATGTCCTCCAGGCCCTGACTGCATGGGGACCAGCCACTTACTTGCTGGGCAGACCCCCACATAGCTGCTGCTTCCATGTCTGTCCAGCCCTGGAGGAGGTGGAAGAGTCGTTGTGAGATGAAAGTAAGACATTTTTCTATGTTGCTTCTGCCCCCCACAACAGGCCTTTCCCTACTCTCCCCACAATATTCACTAGGGAGAGGCCCATCACACTGTTTGCAGGGTTGCTGGTCACCAAATCCCTACAAATTTTAGTGCACGAACTAGGGTGTGTGTGTGTCTGTGAGCACATGCATACTTACTAAAGCATGTGAGATGGGTGTGTCTTCATGAGGGTCTACACCTCTGTTACAAAATATAGGGAAGGGACCTCTGACAGTTCCTTCCTCAGTCCCTCAACTGAGACTCCTAGGGATGGGAGCAATAGGAGGAGGTAAGTGGAGACCCTTGGTGAGGTCCACAGTAGGCCCTGTAGGCACAATATGGAGGAGCCCAAGTGTGGCTGGGGATAGGAGCTCATGGTACAGGGATCTCTCCTGGGGACATTAAGGAGCATCACAACTCCAGGTTCTAAGGAGAAGCTGGCAGACTGAGAGCTCCAGGGACTGACAACTATGGGGTCTGTATCTACCCAAGAGCAGGCACCCTTGCCAGTCTATATGCAGCTGTTTCAGAGAAGGACATAGAGGGTCAGAGAGGGTAAGTGACCTGCCCAAACTCACACAGTCAAGAGACAATAGAGCTGAGGCTTGAATCCAGGGCTACTGCTCCTTCTTCTGTATCCTGAGGGCTCTTCAAGGCTCCCAGAGGAGGAGGCTTAATGCTGTGAACCAGGGTCCCTGTGCTAGTTCCTGTCTGTCTCTCTGGAGGCTCATTTGGGACCAAAAATGCTAGTCTATCCAATCTGTGGCTCTAAAGGTCGTGCCAGCATGGAAAAGAGATTTCTTGGAGTTGGAAGACCCGTGTTCAGTCCTGGCCTTGCTACCGGATGACCTTGGACCAACCCCTTGCTTCTCTGGCCTCAATGCCCCTACCTATCAGAGAGGATGATGCATGAAAAAGCTTTGAGGGAGGTGGGGAGAGGCTCCTTCTGCCTCAGTGTCCTAAGCATCCCAGTGTCCTAAGGGTTCCTAAATCTCAGTGGCAGTTCTTCCCAGAGGCCTAGTTGAGGAAGGGATGGCCAGCCATATAGGGGCCAGCATTCTTACCACCTCACTTTCAGAGCCCAGGGACTCCTGGCGCTTCCGTCTGGAGATCCAGCTGAGGTCCGAGGCCTGGCTGCTCAGTGTGGAGCGGTGGGTGGAATGGTAGCTGGTATATGGGCCAGTGCGCTGGACCGATACACCAAGCAGCACACCTAGGCAGGGCAGGTGCTGGGCTATGGCCATTCTGCAGGGACAGCACATCTGGTTAAGGCAAAGATGATGGACAAATAGACATGAGGAGATGGGATGAATGGACAGACTGATACAAGGCCAATAGGAGTGGACAGAGAGCCACTGGGAAAATAGGAAGGTTTAGACACTGGAGTTATGAGGATGGACAGACAGATGATGGGGCAATGGGAATGGACAGGAAGACACTGAAAGTCATGAAAAATTATAATGAAGGCCAGACAGATACTGAGGTGAAGGAGACCAACAGACTCACAGGACTGGGAGTGGACAGACAGATGCAGGGGCCATGGTCATGGAGGCATAGCCTTAACATAGCAGGTTCAGCCAGATACTTGGTTCTAGCTTTCAAGTGGAAGACCCAAGCCACATCTCTGTGAATGGAGACCTCTGAGCTGAATAGGTTAAGTTATGCTGCTGGCCTCAGCAGGGTGGTGATATATAGATACCCCCAGGCAAAAGGAAGCACTGAAAACACTCCTGTGGGAGAGGCCAGTATGCTGGGATTCTAGCAGAGAGCACTCTGGGTGAGAACCATCCCTAGGCCTCTGCCAGGGCCCTTGAAGTATAGCTGAGCTTTCCCTGGTGTGGTCTCTCCAGGGAAAGCTCAGCTCTGGAGGCTTCTCCTTATAGGGAGCAACACTGCTGATCAGCCATCTTGCCTGCCTTTTGGCCTCAGCTCCAAAAATCCCTAGTTAGGGTTGGCCACTGCCCAGGGAGCCCTGATATCCCTCCAAGCTGAGCCTCCTGGGAAAGTGGAACAGCAGAAGGGTCACACCACCTCTAACCCCACCCAATGTAACTGGCTGCTCCAGCTGCTAGAGCCCCCACCCAATGCATAGACAAGAAACAGGAAAGACAGTGGCCTCTGACCCCATTTGTAAGCCCAGATCCTCCATGCCCCTGAGGGTGGGCCTGGGGGCCTGGGGGCCTGGGGGTAGGGCCTGAAGTAGAGCTGCACCTGTACTTAGGGTGGGTGATGGCGTAAATGATGGGGTTGTGGATGGCAGAGGCCTTGGCGATGACAGCTGGCACTGAGTTCATGTAGGGCGTTAGGACATGCGCATACCTAGGAGAGAGAAGCTGTGGTCTCCCTGGCAGCTGGCCCTCCTGTCCTCTTGGGAATCTTCTTCCTTTAGGTCAGGCTCTGCCAGGGCACAACCCAGCTTGGCCCAAATTAGCTGAGCCAAGTCAGCCCCATGGGAAGGACTGCAATGCTAGGAAGAATTCTGATCTGAGGTGAGTGGGAACCCAAAGAGCAATTGAGGGAGGGGCTAGGAGGAAGATGGGCCAGGTTGGAGAGTTTTACTGTCCCTTGAGCCTATGCTGCCAGCAATAAACCCTCGTCTCCCCTGCTGACCCTGGTCCCCTGCTCAGCTTTTCCCACACCACACTCCAACCCAGATGCCCACACTCTCCTGGCTCTCTCAAAGTTACTTCACAAGAGGACCCATGAGGGAATTGTTCCTGTACAAGAATAAGATCTCATACACAAACACTTCCAAGGATTAATAGCTCTCTCTGCCCCAAAATGCTTCTGAAGTCTGGCTTACGCCCACACTGCTGTAAATGTCAAAGTTCCCAGACTCTCACCATGAGGGCAGAAAGTGAGCAGAACCCCTGGCTGTGTGCCCAGATGAAGAGGGAACCAAAACTCAGGGAGAGCCATGTATTCCCAAGGGGTCTAGCAGGAACTGTAGCCCTCACAGGCACTCAGGCTAAATCCAGTGTGGCTCAGAGCTCACCCCACATGTGTCCTAGTGCCTCCAGGAACCAGGTAGGCTCAGGTAGGCCCAGCTAGAGGGGATAATCTCACTGCAAGGAGAGAGGAAGGCTCTGAGGCCAGACTTAGAGTGTGAGTACAGCTGGCTTGGGTTTGGTCTTGGAAAGAAGAGGCTGCCCCAATCCCCTGTAGCCCTCCCCACTTCACACTGCACTCCCAGCCCCTTAGCCATTGCTTACCCAGCAAAGGCCATCAAGGCCACAGTGGAGTAGGGTGCCCAGGACAGCACGAAGAGAAGGATGACTAGCAAGACAATCTTGGCCGTTTTCCACTCGCTCTGCAGCCGCTGCTGTTGCCGGGGCAATTCACTGTGGCCTTCACAGGACCCAAAAGTCTGGAGAGCCCTAGGAAGGGTACAGCATCTGGGTCTGACCACACTTGGGTTGAAATAAGTTGCCAAGGTCATGGCCACTGTTGGGGAACCTCTCTGGAGTTAGCCATCCTTTCCAGTGCAGGCATCCCTCACACCCAGAAAGTTCTCCATGACATCCAGCCTGACCTACCTCCTTCAGTTCTACATGTGGTGTCTTTTCTGCCCTAAACCCCCAGGCCTCCTATCATGCCTAAAGGCCCCTTCTTGAGAAGACCCTGTCTCCTGAAACTTTTCTAGGTACCAGGATGTGCTGGTTTCTAGGCACCTACCCTGTAAGCAGAGGTACTCAGCTTGTCTTTGCCCATCTGGAGTTGGGGTGCCCCAAGGGTGGGTGCAGACATGAGGCTCTGATGAAGGGGCACGGCCCCCCTCCCATCTAGCCCCTTTCTCCATGCCCAGCTCTTACTGGCCTGTCTCCCGAATGGCCCTGAAGATGAAGACGTAGCAGTAGATGATGACAAGCAGGGGAAGGAAGAACACAAAGCAGAAGAGCAGCATGGTGTAGGCACGGACCGATGGCGTGAAGCTCACATAGTCCCAGGAACAGGAGGTCAGCAGCCCCTCGGGCACGTAGGCACCTGGGAGCCAGGAGGAGGCAGATTCTCAGTGTTCTGGGCAGTGCTTTTGTGGGCTCCTCATCAAGCAGGGATTTTTGACATGGGGTCTGGGATCCTGGAACACTGACAGCAGCCCCAGCCCAGCCCAGTACAGTGAGGAAGCCAGGGCACGTGGAGGCAGAGCTTTCCAAACCTATTGTGGGAGATAGCTAGCAAAGCCCAGCACCATCCATTCTTGCCAGCGTGGGGCAAAGACCTCACCAGAGCACCATGGTCCTACTCCCCCAGGCTTCAGCCAGCTTTTTGGCCCTGCCCAAGAAGGGCTGGTGCCTTACTGCTAACCCTCTTGTGTACTGAGTCCTCATACCCCAACCCCTGCCTGTGTAGCTCACTGCAAACTCAGCATCAGATGTATATCTCTTCCTGGCAACCAGGAACCATGTAGTCTTCCCCTCCGTGGTGAGGGATGGGAACCCAGGTCATCTTCTGATAACTGATGATATAGCTTCAGTTTCCCTGTGGCTAGTCCTACCCCCATCCTGCCAGTTGGCTAAGCCAAGTGTACCTACTTGCCCTTGAATGTGCCCCCCCAGACTATCCTCCCCTTTCCTGATTCCTGCAACCTACTTACTCCAGCCAAAGAAGGGTGGAAGACTCCAGGCCAGGGCATAGAGCCAGACTCCCAGCAAGACAAGTGCTGCTCGTCTCTTGGACACCACCCCAATGGTGGCCAATGGGCGTGTGATCACCAGGTAGCGGTCCAGGGCGATGGCTGTCAGAGTGATCATGGAGGTGATGCCAAAGAGAGCCCCACAGAAGGCATAGAACTTGCAGCCTGTGGACACAGTTCCCTGACCTCAGCCCTTGGCAGGGAGCCCATCAGATACCCCAGGGGAGAGAAGGTCTGTGGACACCATATAGTTGGCTCCTGCCCTCACATCTGAAGAGATACAGACTGAGCCCCTCTTCACCCTGCCTACTTGCCACATCTGGCAGAGGCTAGTGAAGACGTCAGGACTGGAACCTGAGTCTTCCCTGTTGCTCACTAATGGGATGAGGGCAGCTACCCACTCTCTGCCAAGGAAGAGGAAATCACCTCCTCACCTGGGCTGCTCTTCACAGTATGCATCCCCTGCCACAATCTTCCTCCCCATTCCAGCAAAAAGGAGCCCTAAGTGTCTACCTGCCTCCCCAAAGAGCCACCGCTTATAGAGGCTGCTGGCAAATACAACAGGGGCCTGGGTGAAGGACATGAGGAAGTCGCTGATTGCAAGGTTGATAATGAACATGTTGGCAGGTGTCCTGAGGCTTCTGCTCCTGTAGGGATCAGAAACTGTTAGAAGGTGCTTCTGCTGGGTGCCTTCCCTCCACTAGGTGCACATATGCACACATATGTGTGTGTGCATTCATACCTACAGGAACCTCTGGGCCATCCCACTGCTCGACAAATACCAGCCAAACAGTTCTGGTGTCCAGCAGTGCAGGCTGAGAAATGAGACTGTCTTTTGAAGGAGGTTCACTCAGAATGAAGCAGAGAGCAATGCCTCTCCCAGAGCTGCTGCTCAGTCCAGCAGAAACTGGGTTTGGGTGTCATCCATTACTTCTTCTCACCTTGGGCACGCCCTCTGCATGACTCACACTTTCTCCCTGGACACACCCCTCCTTTCTATAGCTCCTCTAGGCTAGATTTTCCTGAGTGTCTTGTCCCTATGCTCCCCTTCCCATGTGCCCAAACTGTGCCTTCTTCTTCCTCACGCACCCTCCTCACCCCTTTTTTTCCAGAGTCATGGTCTGAGTCCTGCTCAGCACACCTGTGCCTATATTCCTCACCCTCAGGGCTGGCAAATGGTCTCAGGCCCAGGCCTCAATCTTTAAGCTCAGGGAAGGGGTCAAAAAACAGTCCAAATAGCTCAAGTGAGGCATGCCAATTGGGCCCCAGGCACACTCTCTATGTAGGGTGGCTGTCCCTAGGACACTGGGTCTCTGCCCATTGAGGGCAATGGAGTTGATGACTGTGCTCCAGAGGCAGGCCCTTTCACAAACCTTGTCTCCTAAAACCATCCGTCTTTGTGTCTACCCTTTCCCCATTTTCTAGATAAGAACATCGAGCCTTCCACTTGTGATGTGGTTTTCTCCAGATCACAAAACTTGGTAAGTGGAACAGCCAAGATTCAAACAGATTTGCTGAGCACTGTGTATACATACACTTAATCATTACATTGACTGTGAGGCAAAGCTCAGCTCCATTTTGCAGACAGATGTGTGGGTTTAACTAGGATAAATAAATTGCCCATAGACATTTCAGCTAAGAGGTGATAAAGGTAGGGCTTCAATTCTCTGCCTGCCTGTCTCAGCCATTCAGCCTGCAAATAGGGCATGTGTGGAAAAAACAGGTGGTTGCTGAGGGGCTTGAAGACTCAGGGCTTTGGTGCCTGGGCTGCTCTTTTAGGGAGAAGGAGGATGCCCACTGAGGCAAGTGATGGTGGAGGAGAACTGACAGCGAGGCAGAATGGGCAGAGACCCAGTGTCCTAGGGACAGCCACCCTACAGAGAGGGTATACCTGGGGCCCAACTGGCATGCCTCACTTGAGCTACTTGGACTACTCTTTGGCCCCTTCCCTGGGCTTAAAGATTGAGGCCTGAGCCTGAGACCACTGAGGGCTTAGCCCTGGCCTCACGGCCCAAGCTTGATAGGGCCCTGGCAGAGCTAGCACCAGCATTTCTGTCCTATGTGTTGCCCTGTCTCCTCATGGCTGGCTACCCTCAGTTCCCAGGCCCCAACCTCATCAACCAAGCACCTGCAAAAGGTATAGATGACTGTCAGATTGCCCAGCATTCCTGTGAGGCCCACCAGCAGGACCACCGTGCCTAGGGTGTAGTGGGCATGGTCCGGAACATCGACTGTGGGGAAGGGGACCCAGGCAGTAGCCTGAGCCCCAGGCTGTGGAAAGACAGAGAACCAAAGTCATCACGTTATTCTGTCACCTTAAAATAACCCCAAGAAAAAAGGGTTAGGGTCCCCAGAAGGGCAGGTGGGGAAACTGAAGCTCATAGTGCCAAGGTTCCTTGCTCACACAGCTAGCAAGTGGCTGAGCCCAAATAGAAATGCAGGTCCCCTAAACTCGAGCCCAAGCTCCTATATCATTGCACAGAGGCATAAGGCTTCTAGGATTGGGCTCAGATCACCTGTTAGAGGCTGGTAAGACAGACTAACACATGTCTGGCAAGCAGGGCCATGGCTAGAATGATTCTACCTTTCCTTGGGAAGAAGGCCCAACTCTTTGGTGGTTTCTCTCTGCTATATAGGACGTGTTCCAAGTGCTCAAGACATTTAGCAGTGATATTCCAGGTCCCTCTACTCTGGGTATCAGAGTGTGGGGCAGAGCCCCTCTCTCTGGAGTTCCCCGCCCTCCCGAGCCTCAAAGAAAAGGCTATAGTTTCCCAGAGTATAATTGGGTAGACCTGGCACAAGATGGAGGGGAGAATTTCCCTTTGAAAAGAAAGCTTATGCCTCCCAGGGTCACTGCAGGGAGATATAAGACTATGAGGCCAATATAAAGAGATTTAAAGACACCTCCCTCCCCAGCTCCTCTCTGGGGCAGTGGTATAGTCTCTATCCTGCCTTGGCCTCTAAAATGGAAGGAGCCTTCCCATCCTGTCCAGGATGTAGGCCAGCATCCCAGGGTCCTGAGAGTACCCTCAGCCCTCCCCACTTAATGGTGGGGTTGGTGGAGATGGCCTTGGGGCTCTGGCTAGAATGATGGAGACAACAGAGCACACCTAGTACCTCGCTCTGGGCTGGACAAATCCAGAAGCACACAGTATGCCTTCTTTTTTGGAAGGCTCCGTGGGGCATCCAACCACCTTCAGAAAGGAGTGGATATAGCCAAGGACAGGTCTGGGACATTCCAGCCCCTTGTCCTTCAGCATCGGCCTTTCTATTCCTTGGATGCTCTCCTCAAGGAAAATTGCTGCCCACACTCTCCTCTAGTGGCCTCTTTGTGTAGGGCAGGCTCAGAGACATACAGTAACATGCCCAGGGTCTCAAAGCAAAGCACAGGCCTTTCCTATCTCCTTACCTAAGCCCCTGTGTTCCCCTAGGATGGGGATCAGAATGGAGGAGGGAAAGCTATGTGCCTGCAGAAGCTCGCTCCAGGCTTACCGTGGGATTGATGGGAACAGGTTGGTCCAGGCTGGAGGTGCTGCTCTGGGAGCTGTCCCACCTGCTGGGTGAAAGTGGAGTGGCCACACAGCAGGGCTCTTGCGCTGGATCCAGTGAGACTCTTGGCCCCAAAGGAGAGTTCATCCTGAAGCGGGTGGTCTTTTCTTGAGCCCACAGAGAAGTCAAGAGCACAGAGCACTCAGGATGTTAGCTGTGTCCAGCCTCCTCTCACCCATCCTCAACACCCCTGCCCAGTGGGCCAGCTGCCTGCTTCTGCAAACAGCATGGACCTAGCTTGAGGGTGGTGCTGCTCTGTGTCCAGTGAAGCACAAAGGAGAAGAGAGTGTCACAGTTGTGGCAACTCACAGTCTTTAAGTAGTGGGGCAGGGAGTGTGCATCCCCAGTAGCTCAATACATCTGCCCCTTCAGACACAGGTCCCTGATGATGGCAGCATGTGTGTGAATGAATGTGTGTGAGAATGTGTCAGTGTGAATGCATGTGTGTGTATTTCAGGGGAGATTGCCAGGCTTAGGCTTGTGGACATTGGGCAGAAGGCTTTGTCCTCCCCTGTGACTGGACTCTCTTTTTGTTCCTGGAGCTCATCAAGAATAGCTTCTACCATCCCCCCAAAACTCCAGGACTGTCCAGTGGGCAAGTGAACCTGTGGAACCCAGCCTCATGCTTTCCACAGGGTGCCCTACACTCACATCCAGCCCACATGAGCCGTCACAATTTCACAACCACCCTGCACAGAAGAACCAAGACTGGTCACTCATTTCACAGATGAAAAAGCTAAAAGGATGAGCCAGGGTATACATATAGAAAAAAACAGATCTTACAATCAAGGTGAGATCATATCATGATGCATTTTTGCTTCTTGTTTTTTGATAATAACTTTTTAAGTGGAAATACAAATGTTAAAAAAAACAAACAAAAATGCAAACTTGGTAGAGACCTGAGAGCTCCCCCAGGTCTGCAGTCCTAGCCCCAGTGAATGTCAGAGTGGAGGGGACCCCTGGTCTGCATTTGTTCCCTCTGGGGGAAAACAGCAGGAGCAGAGCCCCCAAGCTGGAGAGGATGGAAGCTGGGCACTCTTTCTAAGGGGTCTGCTGGCTTCCAGAATTGTCCTGCTTGGGAGCCATATCCTGAGGCACAATGCCGAAATTTGTGGAGCCATGGAGTAGAGAGATATGCCATCTCCTCTTCCAGGGGTCCCTCCAGACTTCACATTTTTCCTAGAGTGGCAAATTTGGGCTTGGGGTGGCTGCAACTACCTCAAAGAGAAGTAGCACTGTCCATAGGTGCCAACTCTCAGCTCAGATGTACTTTTTCTTTCATTCCAGGTCTTCAACTTACAGAGGTTCACCTTAGGTGGTAGGTGAGGCTGAGGGACTGACTTTGCTTTCTCTCCTTTAAACCCAATGTGGACTTGCTTTCAAATATGGGTATTTAACTATTAATTTCAGCTGGGAGCAATTCTGAACCAATGCAAAGTCCCATTTCAAACCCTAACCCACTTTCCAACCTGATAATTAGGATAGAATGCACGTGAAGTAGCTAGTAACAGATTGAAGTGTTTGTCAGGTAGACAGCCAAGGAATGACCACACACCCAGAGTGCCATGGGCCTCAGAGCCACGGCTAAAGACCCAAAGAATTGAATTCCCCATACCTGGGGCATTTGGAGCCCACATCTGCTTAACGGTGTTAGTTCTCCACAGATGACATACCACTGCCCTCAGGGCTGATGCTTCCATTTCCATAGGGCCTGAGTCTACAACCTCTCCTCCTGTGCAGCGTCCCCTCTGGGGAGGGCCTACCACAACCTTCGTGTTCCTCACCTCTGCACCCCACACCTTCCCAGAACCTGTTGTCCTGGTTAAGCCAGGAGGAATGTGTTAGCAGCCTCAGCCTCCAAGGATGGAGTGTTGAACCGTTTTCCAGGACCACCACTGCCCAACCTGTCCATGCTGTAAGCCACAGGTAGGAGGTCAGGGAGTCCCTGGCTTTCCATTGTTCTCCTCAGATCAGGTGACTCCTGTTTTTCCAGGTGCCCAGCCATGTACCCGCCCCTGAGTCCCACTCTGCCTCTTGGGTCTAACACCCCAAACTTGGCCCAGTCTGCCAAATTTTCCTCCTTGTTGTCCCATCCACAGTCCCATGAGCCCCAGGGCCTCCAAGGATCTCAGTACAGGGCTCTTCAAATCCTCATAGTCCTCCCCTGACCCTCTGGCTAGTGCCCACTCCCTCAGAGACAGACTGGCATCTCTTCCTCTCCCAGCACCAGTAGCTGAGGGCAGGCTGACCTCAGCATTCAGAACTCGCTTCTGCTCCTGGTGCACCTATGGTCCCAAGGACCCCTGAGCAGATCACAGAGCTGCCATCCTTACACGCAGCTCTCTTCCCATACTGTCCCCTTCTCTCCCTCTCTCCTTACAGCCCTCCCATCACACTACAGCCCTAAAGCAGTTTGGAAACACAAATCCCATCAGACAAACCCATGCTTAACACTTCAAAGGCTTCCATTGCCCTTAAAATATAGAAAAGCCCTAATGTGGTGAGGCAGATGAAGGAAAACACTACAATGTGACTGGCGTATGGGGTTAAGAAGTGGCTTTTGTTGGGGAAACTGAAACACTGAAGGTCAGCAAACAGAAGCATGCTGTTCTCCTTAGTGTCTGTGTGCAGGGGGTGGGGGTGGGGGTGCTGCCACACCAGGGGGCTGTGTGCCAGGGCAAGGACCTGCCCCTGCTACTGGCCCTTTCTAATGCAAGAGCAGCCAAACTCAGGCGCCAGGGAGTCTGGGTGTGGCTGCCAGCTGAGCAGAGAGGAGTCTGAGAACGCCAGCTGCCAGCACCTGCAGACCTTACTGGAAGCTGGATTCAGGCCATAGGAGAAGGGGAGGACTGATCACATGAGAAGTTGTGTTCAGGTGCAGACCCTCTTGCTGGATGTAAAGGAGCCAGCTTGGTACCTGGGGACCTGAGCTCTGGGCCAAATCACAGGAGACCTCACTGTGTTCTAGCCAGGCTGGCTTCTCTCAGACCGCAGAATACACACTGTCCCTCTGCTCTGTTACACTGCCTCTGCTTGTGCACTGCTGCTGAAACCTCCGCTAGCAACTTGCCTGGGTCTCAGCTCAAATACCACCCCCAAAAAGTGCCAAGGAAGCTATTCTGAAGACCTAATCATTCACATAGCCTCCTGTACTTCCTTTGGAGTATTTGCCAATGGTGTCATTTATAGTGATTGTCATCTGATTGAGTCTGTCTCCCTTTCTGGATCATGAACAGATCTATTTGTTTTACTTTTGTGACCCACTGCCCGGAAGAGTACCCAGCACATTGTTTCAGGAAAATAAAAATCTTCCTGGTCCTTGCTTCTCAAAATGTGGTCCACATCAGTGTCACCTGGAGCTTGTTAGAAATGCTCCAGAATCACTGAATTAGGTGACCCGATCACACAGTAAATTGGATAGTTGTTGGTCTAGATTCTTTAGAGGACTTAGGGACTGGTAACAGGTGGTGGAAGCCACCCTGAGTGGACATTGAGGCAACCCAGAGATTAGCACCAGCAGGATGCACTGCCACACCCAAGGCTGGACAGAAAACAGGAGGAAGTGGGGGCTGGGCTTTCAGGGGCTGGGGCTGTCCAGCAGGCTGTCACAGAGATAGTGCTCGTGAATGGGAGCTAGAGCCTTGGTCAGAGTGTGGCTGCTGGCAGGGTGCCACGATGAGCAGAATTCTGTGACTTCCCACTGCTCTCCTCTCTGGTCTCCTGCCTTCTGCAGATGCCTCCCCATGACCAACCTACCTGGAAGCCAGGGGGTCTGGAGATACATGATTCCCTGGGACAGAGAGTGGTCAGGGAAGGGTGATGGAGTAGACATATATCACCACTCCACCTACCCCCACCTGCCACTATAGCCAGTAAATGGTGTGGGTCCCCTTCCCAGTTCACTTGGGAATTCTTTTGCTACTGATTTTCTAACTCCACACAGGGGCTGCTCATGGAGGGATGGTCTGAGCCCTGGGTGGGCAGCAGTGTCAGCTCTGTGACCAGCCTCTCTGGTGCCCTTGGACCAGCCTGAATCACCCTTCTGCTCAGCCAGTCCTGGGAATATCCGGCAGATCACACTCATCCCCCCTTACCACCACTACGCCCACAGCCCACACCCAACACCAGGGAGATCTGAAAGGGTTGAGTGTGCTTTGTGGTACCTGGAGCCCTGCCCATAGCTCTGCACTGACTTGCTGCCTGCTTTTCACGCCTTGCTTACATGGCTGAAGGTGGGAAAAGCTTTCCAGGTCCTTCACCCTTAAGGGAGTACCAGGAGCATAGGAATGGGAGGCCTAAGAGCTGCCCTGAAGTGGCAGAGAGGGACTGAGTGTCTGCTCAGCTGGAGGGCAGAGGCGAGAGTATGACAGTATGATGTTTTATGTTAGATCAAGCAGGAGTTATAAACAACTCAGTGGTAGACTCAGCAGACAGGTAACCTCACTTGCTTTGAGACTGGAATCAACCAGCGTCATGAACACTGTCCGAAAGCCCCCAGTGCTGACTTTACTTATAGGCTTTCTGAGCCCCAGAATTCCTGTTCTTAGTAGAAGAGTCCTGAGAGCCCTTGGAAGAAAGGCCAGGAAGGCCTCTGGCCCTTGCATTTCTGTGGTTCTGGCTGTAGCACCCAGGGTCCGGGAAGGCAGGTCTCGGCCCTCCAACCTGGCCTAGCAGGAGGCTCTGTAATGCCACTCCCTTGCCATTGCCATCCTGTCTGCTGCTGGGGATCAATTTCCTCAACCTGGGGAGGGAAGGGCTATCTGGTTACCAGAGACTCCTGGAAAACTCCTAGGAGCTGTCGCCCAGGGAATATTAAATATCTCAACAAGCATATTCCTGTAAGCACCTGGCCAGGAGCTCACCTGGGCTCTCCCTCACCTGGAATCTGCTGGGTTTCAGGTAAACTATGTCAGGATAGGGCTTTCCTTCTCATGGTCTGAGGGAAGGGCCATAGATGCAGCAACTGAGAAAAATCCTTGCTTTTTTGCTGCCTTACACCACAGAATGGCAGGAATGGTTCTGCCTTTTTAGCTGTCCTGGATCTCAAGGTGCCACCATGCACCCCACCCCCCCCCCCCCTACCAGTGCATATCTGACCTTCAGAAGCCAGACAAGTGGCCCAGTG